CAATAACATTGGCTGCCGCTCACCAACCGACGGACAAGGCGTGCACCGCATGTAGGGGTACATCCGCGACCCTCTGCAAGGGCCAGGAGGCCGAGAGCAGCTTTAGTCCTATCTCCCAACCCAACCCCTGCCTTGCCTTTGAGTGACACGAGTCGGACACTTGAATCACGTGAATTGGTACAGAAAGAGCAACCGTTATTAAACGTGTGGGAGCTGCGGTCAGGATACCGGTAAGGGGCGAGCAAGGCTTTTTGTTCATTTCGGTTTGTAGGTGGCACTTGCATTGAAACGCCAACCCTTGTATGAGGTTCCTCCGCACCGCAATGGGCGGGCGGGCCCCGAGGCGGGCCGCTGTCTCCACAGATATGCTTGGCAGGTTGGCCTATCCAGCGCGTTGTAGGCGCTGTCAAGGCAATGTTATTGAGGCCCCATCCTTCCGTCAGAACACGTTGCTCCAGCATAGCTCATAGGTAAGCTGAGAGCGCCTTTGGTCTTTAGCAGGCAACCCCCTCTCGCCGCATTACCTGGGGAATGCTGTCTTTGGGAACATTCACATGGCTAGGTCAGCCAGTGCCGTTCTACAGGAGCTCGCGCCCAGACCCCTACCGTGGAGCCGCAGTCTACGGTATTGCACTGACAGGCCGGAGTGAGAGTTGTCTAGGGGTGACGATGACGGGCAAGCAGGGTGAGTGGCGGTTGGCGGTCCGAGCGGTCCGAGCCGAGCCAGCGCGTCGGGGTGCCTGGCCGGCCGGCCTGGCCTCCTTTCTCTCCAGCACCCACACAGCCGACTATTTAGGGCGGGACGACGACGCGCGCCTCGTCAGTAAACGGGGTGGAGGCGAAGGGAGACGAGCCGAGAGCACAGCGAAGCACGGAGACACGTCGCACCATGGCAAAGGTAAGTCGGGGAGCCTTGGAGTGGAGTGCGCTCCGTGTGCCCCCAAGTGCGTTCACATTCCCATCCCCCGCAGACGAGGCGGCTGAGCTTGGTGATGGCCTTGACGGCTCTGTCGGCGGCGTGCTGCCTTGGGTCGCCGCTCGCGCCAGAGCTCCCCGTCGAGGCCCCGGCCCGGCAGTCCTTGCAGGACGTGCTCGCCAGTGCGCCCGAGACCTTCCGCGTCGACGTCCAGCAGCTGGACAGCGGTGAGCACGAGCTTGGCGTGCGGGACGAGGTGCGCGTCGGCGAGGCAGGGGCGACAGGCGACGAGAAGCAGCTCTCGCCCGCCACGCAGTCCTTCCTCAGCACCCTGGGCACGGCCCTGGGCCCCATCGTGGGCGCCATCGTGGGCCCGCTGCTCAGCAACATCGGGCAGAACCTGTCCGCGGGGAGGTGAGTAGCCAAGTAGTAGCGCACGGGGAAGTCCACTCCGCGGCACAGTCGGACACACGCAACACACCTTCGTGTTCCAGTGGAGCGCAGGCCATCGCGCAGCTGCAGCAGGCCGCCGCGGCCGTCGCGGCGCAGCAGCAAGGGGCGGCAGCTAGCGAGGCGGCGCCCGCCCCCGCCCACGCCGCCACCAGCAGCCCGCCGCCGGCGACCCCTGCAGAGGTGTCCGTGACTCCGCCACCGCCGCCGCCGCGGCCCGCGCGTCCGGGAAGGCCCACAGCGCGCCCCGGCCGCCCTGGAGCACGCCCCTCGCCCGCCGCCACGACCGCGGCGCCGTCTCTGCCGCCCAAGACGTCGGCGCCCCCCAAGCAGTCGTTCGATGCCTTCGTCCTGGACGTGCCCGGCAGGGGGCCCTTCCTCTTCCTCATGACGCCCAACGTGACCGCCGCCGAGCAGACCGCCGCCATCCAGCAGGCACAGCAGCAGGCCGCACAGCTGCTCGCGGTGAGGACTGCGCTTAGCGGCGCTCAGCGGCGCTCAGCACACCGTCTCCGTACCGGCGGCTCCAGACCGTCCTGACTAACGACTTTCTGCTTCCCAGGTGAACGGCCAGTCGTCGCCCATCGGGGCGGTGGCGTCACTGATGGGGACCGTCCCCACGACGCCGAGGCCCCAGGTGACCAAGCCCACGTCGGTCGGCCCGCTGCCCGTGCGCCCCTTCGGCACGACGCCTTCGCCCTTGCCATCCTACCACTCTCTGATCGACACCGACGACGACCAGGATCAGCAGCAGGGCGGCGAGGAGGTCGCTGTGGCAGACACAGAGGGGGAGAACGACCACGATGGTAAGGGTCTCTGCTGAGCGCACCGCTTCCAAGCGCCTGACAAAATGCTTTAGTATTTCTCTCACATTCTGCTGCTTTCTTCCAGTTGTGGAACATGTTTACCTCGGAGAGGACGCTACCAAAGAGGGCGATAGTGACTACTCTGCCCAGTCTTTTCTCGAAAGGCTTTTTCCAGAAATGACCTAACTCCTTCAGTTCAAGTTTTAACACCTTGAGTGTCTCTCTCTTAACATGTTCATCTAGTCAAGTGCTGTTTGGAAATCTCAACAGTAATTAATTTATTTATTTATTTCTGTATTTGAACATAATTTATTCTTGTATTGAGTAGGGCCTAAGTTTAGCAGAGGTGTTACTTCCTTCTGTAATACAAATTTTAAAAAAAAAATACCTTGAGGTGAATAATGTTTAGCAGATTTTTACAGCTAAAACAAATCTTTACCCTATCCTCGAGAATACCCACAATTATTTGAAAGCCAACTTTGAAAAACTGTCAACGGAATGAACTTCTTGAAGAATATCACTCGCCAAAGGAGAATTTCCTTCACGCTGAAGGAGTACCACATGCATACCCGATGTCCGAGCTGGGATGGCCTCTGTAAGTAAATTAACGATGTGTTTAAGAACAGAACAGTAACAGTGGCTGGGCAACTGGCATGGCTTACTTCAACTGTACCGAGGGTTAAAGGTCCACAATGTAATTAAACTTTCTATTACCTAGTAAGGGGTCAGAAGGAAAATAAATAAAATGAAAGAGTAAATTTCAAGTAATAAAAAAAAGGTTGTATTTGTAAAACCAACATACACATGGCAGTACACTTTATCACATGACATATGTGGAATGATTTGGTACTGAAAGAATCACTTCCCATTATAAAGACTAAAAGATGAACTAAGCACTGCTAAGGAAATTCATGTACACAATTCAAAAACATACCACAACCATATAAATACAAAGAGGTGTGGCAAGATAATAAATTAACCGCGTAAGCCAAATATTAAATACGAAGCAATTTTAACATTCTAGGCTTTAACAACTAGAATGATATTTACTTAAATGTACCATAAAACGGCCAAGCAGTACTTATACAGGATGTCCGGTGCCTTACCACCTAATGTGTTGACATACAAATAACACTTTAAAACTAACTCCCCTAAAACCCTAAGAATTAGCTTGCTTATGACCGCAACTGACTTTAGAAACAGTGGTTGTTGCATCAGTCATAGATGATGAAATCACAGTCACTCAGGGGAGATAAGCAGTCAGATCATACTAAAAAAAATTAAAACATCAGTCTGAAAATTAATACTGGTATCATTGGAAAGAGACTAAACAAAAGAGCACCTTAATTAAAAAAAGGGACCTAACCACCTGTATAGGTCCAGCTTGAACGTTAAAATATCAAGATTAATACATAATAACTACGTGATGCTTGTTGGAACAAGATTCTAAGAGCCAAGTTTTAGAAATAAAAGTACTAATACACACAAAATGAAATTAAATTTTGGCACTTTTTTCCCCCTTT